GGGGGTGGGGGAGGCGGTGGTGGATGCACCAGGGCTTTGTTTGGCATGGCATGTGCAGTTCCTCCCACGTCATCGCCCTCTTTTATGGGCATACTGGGAGATAACATGTTGGTTAACCTTAGCTGGTGAGGTGCTGAAGAAAGACTAACGTCTCCCAATCCCTTTTGTTCAAGATGCCTATTGAAGGCAAATGCATTACAGCCCACTGGGGCCTTGGAAGGGGCCTGCAACAGAGCTGCGGTTGGAAGGGGGCCCCTGGCAGACATAGGCATTTGGTAAAACTGCTGTCTGTGTGAGGTACCAGCGTCGGGGTGGAAGCCGCCATTCTTGTCAACATGAAATAGATTCTGCTGGAAGCTACACGCGGGGAGCAGCCGCTTTTGCTGTTTGACCTCGGGGCTGTGAACGACTCTGTTCTGCATGGAGTGTTTGCTCAGCCATTCTTGCTTAAATGCCTGGCTGTGCCCTAACTGATTCATGCTGGAATTGATGACACAAGGCACCCCCTTCACATCTGGGTCCACCAACAATTTCCCTGGTTCACATTTAACTTGAGCATGTTCCCCCACAGTCCTAGCTACTCTCTTTTTGGGGTGGTTTTCTCGCTTTCTCATTTGGAGTGGGGCAAGGGTCCCTGCCAAGTAGCCCTTACCATCTGGATTTGGAGAGCTGGATGGCATTTCCACAACGCTCCTCTCTGGTGCTGTTTTGCCCACTGAGGTAGTGTGAAGAGGCAAAGGAAGTCGGTTGATTTCAAGCTTGGCTCCCAATCTGGGCTGTGGCAACACTTTTTCCAAAGGCAGGTTGCCCTGTAGTAGCTGTGTCACCAGTGGATTGTTCGCCTCCACGGACGACAGACGGCAGCTGGAGCTCCCTGCACTAGGAACTCTTTTCAAGGTGTCTGTAGTCAAGGAAATAGCCTCTTCCATGGGACTCGAGGTGGGGGCTTTCACATTTGGTGTCTGTTGTACACTGGAGGCTACCTCTGCAGCCGGAGGAGGCAGCTCAGGGCCAGAGAAGTCTTCAGTGTCCATCCTAAAGCCTTTGTCCACTTCGTGAGGCTCCGATTTCACAGGAAGAGTGACATTTGTGATGAGATTCCTGGGGTGAAGTTCTGACACATGCGCATAGCTGGCGTGCTCTGTTTGGATGGTCTTCAGGCAAGTCTGATCCATATATTCTTTCTGTTTACTGGAACCTGCATGACTGACCAGAGGTTGTCCGGTGCTCCTCATCCCATCATCGTTCCAACAAATTCGGGTACCAGGCTTGTACTGATTGCTACAAGTTGTGTCTGCTTCACTTTTGAAAGTTGCTGGACCACTACGTGCCTGCTCAGCAAAGCTATGACTAGGAGGAGTCACCTCATTCAATTTTTCTGGAGCAACAATGGGCAATTCTCGAAGACTTGTGCACGTGACCTGCAATGTTTTCGAGTCTGCTTTTGCTGCAGAAGCAGCGACAAAACAAGAACTGTGATCTACACCTTCATTTGCAACTGGCTCAGGCCTGCTAATCACAGACACTTGAGGACACGCCATGGGCTGAATGGATGCCTCTGTCCTCACCGACCTGCTCTGGAGGTCCAAGCTGGCTTCTGTACTTTCAATGGAGACAGTCAGTGACAAACTAGAGGTCAGCGTTGTGCTGTGGTCAACAATGACTTTACACGGGATGGATCTGTTTATGGCTGCTGGTGCAAAGCCCCCTGGTGGTGGCTGAGGTTTCCCAGAATTGTCTGCCCTGTTTCGAGGCCCTGAATTTTTATCCAAGCTTTCAGCACTTAACTTGGGAGGACTATCATAAGAGTTGATTGTTAGCATGTTTCCAGTAAACATGGCGACTGGTGGGCGTGCCACCACAGAGTCTGTGACTGCTACCGAATCACTGCAGCTGAGGGTGGCTCTCACAGTGGTGCCCATAGGCACAGTGGCCTGTTCTTCACTCCCAGGCATGGCTATCTTCTCAGAAGGAAACCTGTTGTTAATTCCTGTTGGGGGAATCAAGACAGAGCTAGTGGAGAGATGGTTTGGCAAATTATTTCCAATGGAGGGGGTTGGCACAGAGGTGTACTGGCTGGAGACTAAGTTACCAGCACTGCTGTTAGAGATTAGCAACTGTTTATCATCCATGGAGCTGGATACACCAGAGCCCTCTGTAGTGGCCGGAATAAGAGTGCTTTCAATACATTTTGGTATAATGGCTATGCATGGAGTGTCAGTTCCCTGGATGGTTTTTAACATGCTTATATTACAAGCAGAAATCGTAGTGTTTGCACTGTCAACAGACATGAGAACAGAGGATTGATCAACAGAACTCACAAAAGGATGTTCTTTAATTGCTCCCGACATAGCAGTGCTGCAAACAGACACAGGGACAGAATTTTTATTAAAAAGCATGGGCACACTGCTATTTTCAGAAGAGGTAGATGAAACAATTTTCTCAGATAAATGTGACACAGGTATGTTTTCATCAGAACTATGCACAGATAAGTCAGCGGCAGTTTCTGGAAGCTTAGTCGGGTTAAGAGACTGTTGTAATACAGTGGTGGTCTCCCGGAGGTGTGTAGACTTGTTGCTAGGAGATCTGCAGTTTGGATTGACAATAATGACACCAGTTGAACCTTCCATTTTTGTTTCAGGGGCAGAAGAGATGTCTAAGCTTGGAGGCCCTTCCTTCGAGCTGAGTGGAGGCAACCGGGTTTCTTTAGAGGTCTGGAAGAGATGGGCTCGAGCTTGATGCTTTGCAAAGAGCTTAGCTTTTGTCTGCTCTTTGATGTGTGCCAGGGTTCTTGCCTTTCCACTCTCTCCTGGGCTGCCCATGGCTCCAGAGACGATGCTCGCTGCAGCAGCTACCGCCGCAGCTGCAGCAGCCTCTCGCTGGGCCCGAGCTTGTTGGGCACGGGCCTTGATATCTGCCAGGGTCCTGGCTCCTGTGTTCCTTCCCCCACTGACGGATGTGCTAGTGGACGCTCGAGACTCTGGTTTAGAGACTGGCTGGCTCTTGATAATAAAAGGTGGCCCAATTTTGGAAAGCTGGATCTAAAAGGAGGAGAGAATGGAAAAGATAAAGTACTTTGTACATGGTCACAGAGAAGACATGCAGACTAGGGTAGTCCAAGGGACAAGACTAGCTTCATTCTCTCCTACGGCAGAAGAAACTATACCTAGATTTCTAAATGTGGTATATAGGGTAAAAAGAGTCAGGAAATGCCATATGACTGTGAAAATGAAATTTTTAGTCTTTGTTATTCATTTACGAACACATCAACCAGTGACTTTATCTGGCATGGAAATAGTGCGTTCTCCTAATGCTGCATAGAAATGGGAACAAAATCCACGCTTAAAATGAGGTTAGCCAAAAAGACTTTCAGATATTTCATTTTTACATTACCATCTTTGCTGGCAGGAAAAACTAGGACCTTAACTATAGCTGAGTTTATCTGAATGTATATGTCTTAATTTTGCCCAAGAAAAAAGTGCTAGCCAAGAAGTAAAGAGACTAGATTCTCACGCTGGCTTTCCACCAAGGATGTGTGATCTTAGACAAATCAATACAAGCCTCAGTTTCCCCAGGCATCTCTCTGGGCCAAGAACTCTATGGTTTTTATGTACTCCTATACCACCTAGCATGTGCCTTACACATATACAGTGAGCACAGGAGAAAAATCTGTAAACTCAGTTGTAAAATGAAACTATTTATGTCTGGCCTGACAGTCCTCTCACAGAGCTGTTATAAAGAAGGAATGACACTACACTTGTGACAGTGCTCTGTTTTTTAAAGGGACTATAATATCATTACATTTTCATTAAAGTAAGAGGAGCTCTGATTTTCTGCCTCTAAGAGAAAGTAGGGTTGGGGATTTCTTTTGATGTTGGTGAGCAATAATCTGCTGAATTGTATACCTGTCCCAAGCCCTACTGTCTCCCAACTCATGCTAATCAGGAGTCATCACCAGGTTCACGAGGCACGAGACCTAACCCCAACACCCTAGAGCAAGGCTGTGATGCTCTGGCCACTAAGAGTGTCCTTAGGATCATAGATGTGGAGAACTGGAACGGCTCTAGTTAAAGTCTCTCACTTTACAATGGAAGAAATGGAGCCGATGGAGGTAAAATAGCCTCCCTGGGGGAATGTAACCTGTAAGTGACATGGCCGGTCTTTTGGTTCCCAAAGCAGTGAAGTTTACAGGTACTGATTCCGCTCCCTTCTCTCACCCCTCTAGAGAAAGCTTTTACTAGAAACTCTCTTTTCTTCGCATAGGTGTATTCACATTATAATCATTTGACACATGCTACAGGATCATATCAGTTTGGAATTATGTTTTGGAGCTTTGATAGATGGAATTATATCTTCCTGGGTATCTCATTTTCAAACTGTTTGTGAATTCTCTCTTCCAAGTCAAGGTGAAGAAAAGATGAATTAAGCAAGAGGATTTTTCTTTTAAATATAACCCCAAGTCTAAAGAAGTAAACAAATTAAAAAAATTAAACCTAGATACCCTTAAGCAAGAGCTCACAGCTAAACGAACATCAAATATACTTACTGCCTGTATCTATCTGTCCTTACAGTCCCTATCACTTGGAGAAAAAGCTTTTACCAGAAAATCAGATGGTGTGTTTAAAAATATTCCTTATGAAAGGATATTTATATTTTTTGTTCCATGGTTTTAGAAATTAAAATGCACAGCAGGTTTTTAATTGGAGTTTAATGTTCATCTTGACATCTCTAGACTATTATTTAATAGGGAACTGCTTTACTAAATGGATTAACTATAACCACATCATTAAAAGTCAATCTTGTGGATATGATGAGGCATAGACATAAAGGAGATAGAACCCAAAATAAAGAGAAAGAGATTTTTTAAGTTTTGAGATGTTTATAATTCCAGACCAACTCTGACAGAGTACTGTGCTTTATGTTGGCAATCTCAATGGGCTTAGTTAAAAGCATCAAATAAGTATAAATGACAGAGGGTAGGACTCTTTTTAATTCACCAGTGTTTCTTTAGTTTTAACTTTATTTTTCAGTTTACTTAAACAGAGCCAACTGAAATAAAGAGATTTGTTGTTTTGAGAGTTAAAATTTTACCCAGGATTAAGTATATAAGTATATAAGTTTGTCTATAGGCTTTTTTATTTTGTGAAATTAAAGGTCTATATACTATTTTAGAAATTAAAATAAGAGACCAGCAGATGGCATAATGGTTACGTCACTAGATTCTCACATAGTCGACTGTGGTTCAAGTCCTGGACCCGAAGACTTACAATTCACACTGGGCACATGTGTGTACGTGGCCAAAATTCTGATAGGAGAATGGAAGAGAAGGGACTGTGGCATGACCATTCCCACTAGGGGGTGATTTCTCACTTTCTATCTCTCTGTCTCTGTCTCTCTGGAGAGTGTACATGCCCCATTAAATAAAATTTTAAAACCTCTTTTAAAAAAGGAATTAAAAAATGAAAATATAATTTGTTCATCTACATGACTAAGGTATTCTCACTCAGGGATCATGATGCAATTTTATTGATTTTTTCAAGATACAGTTAATGAAGCGCTACAGTAAGCTAGGTCCCTTCTTCTAGGCAATGGTGGTTTTGTATGTTTGTTGCAAAATACATAAATGGATAATGTGTACCTTCATCTTCTTAGTTTGTCTGACTTTTGACTACTTCTCTCCCTAGTCCTATGAACCTTTTGTAGGACACTGAATTATCTGTCACATTTTCTCAAATTTTTATAGATTTCTGTCGTATACCTTGGAATCACCAGCGTCTTAGTGACCTCCAGGCTCCTCCAGGCCCTGTTTTCTCTCCCCTGTTCTCTTTTCTTAAATGCTCAGTTCCGTTTTTTTTCTTTTGAGAGGTTTTTGCTATAGGGCGCGTGCACTCGCCAGAAAGAGAGAGAGCGATAGAGAGACAGAAAGCGAGAAATCACCCCCCGGGGAGATGGCCATGCTGCAATCCCTTCTCCTCCATCCTCCTCTCGGGATCTTGGGCATGCACACACATGTGCCCAACGTGAGTTTAAGCCACAGGGTCCAGAACTCAAACTATGATTCACTATATGGGAGTCCAGAGACATAGCTATTTTGTCAACTGCTGGTCCCAGTGCCAAGTTCTTAAATACACACATACTTGAACTTCTTATATGAGTTAATTTACTGTTTGACTGCCTACTGGGAGGATTACATGATAAATTACTACAAAAAAACCCAAAAGGGAAAAAACACAATTTAGTCTTAAAAATTAAATTTATCAATAAGGAAAGTCTAGCTATAAAATTATCTTTTTAAAAATACCATACTTTTACTTGGATAAAAACCTATGATAATTTTGTCTTGTGCGTAAATGTTATTTATTTAGTGTAGACATTAAGGATAACTTTCTGGAAAAAAAAAATACCATACCTTGAGAGGGGGAACCCTCGGTTCCTCTCTTGGAGGCTGTTCTTTCTCAGGTGGGCTGCTAGAGGTTACGTTCCGGGTTGACAGATCATCTTCTATTCTCGCTCTCTTTTCCTTACAGATTCCAAAGCTGTGCTGCTCTGCAGTTTTCCTCTTTGATATCTCTGAATCTCTACTTTCATTTCTTAACCCATCAGGTGACTTGGAGGGTTCTGTTGACTTGGAAGTATGCGAGATCTCCAACCGATTCTGTGTGCTCCCTGGCTTATGGGTTTTATTCCTAGAGCCTTCTGAAATTGAAGCCTTATCCACTGATGGAACATACTGCTTGTCCTGTAGTTTAGCTGATGGAAGCTCATTTACCTTACTCTCTGTCTCTTCTGAAAAGACAGATAATTGCAATGGTGAAGACACTCCTTTCTTTTCTGTTCTTTGCAGTACACTATGATTTTTAGTTTTCATCATTTCTGTAGAAGAAAGTTCTGGAATTGAGGCAGAGTAGAGCTTTTCAGTTTCGACATGTGATTTGCAAGGCTGCTGACTCAGAGTCTTATTGTGCAATTCTTCA